AGGGAGGGAGGGAGGGAGGGAGGGAGAAGGAAGGAAGGAAGGAAGGAAGGAAGGAAGGAAGGAAGGAAGGAAGGAAGGAAGGAAGGAAGGAAGGAAAAAAAATGAGAATGGGAAAGAAAGAATGAAAAGGAGAGAAAGGAATGGAAGGTAGGAAAACTAAGAATAAAAGTGTAGAAAGTTAGCACTCACCTTTCTAGAAGAATGAAGCATTCTAGGAAATATTAAAAAGGCAGAATATTACTTTACTTTATTGTCATTGCACCTCGAACAATGAAATCAAACACCATCTTCAGTGCACATCATGACCATGAAAATAAACACAAACACATATCCTTCACCCATCAGACATTGAACCGAAAACCCCCAACACCGTACCAACACTGCACTATACAGCAGAATTCAAAAGAGCTACTGCCTTGGGATAGAAGCTATTTTTCAGCCTATTTGTCCCTATTTTTATTATTCTGTACCGTCTGCCAGATGGTAATAGTTAAAAAAAAAAAGGGTTCCCAGGATGAGATCGATCTTTGAGAATCTTTTGAACTTTCTTAAGGCAGTGGGAGCTATAAAGCTCTTCCAAAGAAGGGAGAGAGCAACCCATGATCCTCTGGGCAATGACGTTAACCCTCTGGAGTGCAATTGGCAAACCATACAGAGGTACAGTATGTTAAAATGCTCTCTATGGTGCAGCGGTTGAAGGTCACCAGCAGTTTTCCATTCACTTCTTGTTTCCTGAGAAGTCTCAGGTAGTATAATCTCTGCTGGGCCCTTTTGACCAGGGCTGCAATGTGGGCACCCCAGTTCAGGTCCTCTTTTAGGGTAACACCCAGAAACTTAAAGTTGGCCACTTGCTCAATTCGGTCTCCATTGATAAGCAAGGGCTGGATGTCTGATCTGTTCCTTCTATAATCCACTATAAGCTCCTTGGTCTTATTGGTGTTGAAGACTAATTATACTTCCCTGGATGAAAAAAGGAGAAACATGCTCTTGGAAAGCAGCCCCCAACTTTCTTAATAGCCCCAGAAATAGACTGTGCCATCCTATCTACTAGACAAAAGGCTGGGCCATCTTATCCACAACACAAAAGACCTTCACTCTCAGGACATGATAGGATTAGCCCTCTACCCATCTCACCACATGGCACCTGGGAAGATTACATCACCCAGCAAGATTCAAGCAAGCCTGGGACTCAAGACAACCTACAAAGTTACCCCTGCATGGCTCCATGGGAGTCTGGCAACCAATCAGAATACATTTCTTTAACAGGAACAGGAAGCAAGTTCAAAGCCCAAGAGAAGGTACAAATATATCTCACTCTTTTCTCCATGTGGTCAGCCACCCAGGACTTCAAATCATGTGGTCCTGTCCACCATTAAATCATCTTTCCAAATAGCCTCCATGTTTCCAGTGCCTTTCTCCCCACTTGGAACTGAACCCAGAGGGACGTTTCTTCCAACAAAAAGGAAAGGAAAGGTGAAAACAAGAATGAAAAAGGTAAGAAGGAAGAAAAAAGCAAAAATGAAATAGGAAGAAATGAAACATGAAAGTGAGAATGAAATTGGAAGGAAGGAGGAAGGAACGAATGGAGGAAGGAATGAAACAAAGAAAGAAAGGACTCAGTTTTATTGCCAACAATTTTTCAGAATTCAGGGCTGAAACAGGAACTGGGCCAAGTTACCCAGCTAGCCAGCTTTCAGAATTGGAACTCAAGGTTTCCCATTCTTAGCCTGGTGACTTTAATCACTGCACCAAACTTTTGTCATTTATATACCTGCAAGTATTTCATACATCTGAATGCAAACCAAAGTACTAGCAAGTACTTTGTACCGAGATGTCCTATCAGAGTATTGTGTTTTGCAATGTTGAAATAAGCTGTAATTTGCAACAAAATGTTTGACTGGAGCCATATAGCTTAGGGAAGGGAATGTGTGAGTAAATAGCCCCAGAACAATAATTACTGAGAATAATAATTTGGATGTTATCTGCTAGAGGTTGGTAATTGCTTCATATAACCCATTGCTCTGTGAATCAGTACATCTATAGGAGCAATATTTTAAGAGCAGATACAAGCAGGTACATTTCCCACCTCTGTACACACATGGACAAATACTGACTTTGCAATGGAAAAGAGGATGCCCACAGCAAAAGGTGAAGTGGGAAAATAGCAGGTTTTTGATGTGAGTTTATACACTTTTGCAAAGCTGTGACGGTGGTGAAAAAAGGAATATGGAGGAACTGGCATCATTGTCAATATTGAAGCAATTTTCCCTCTGGGCTTAATGGACATGAAGTGCTATGGAGTATCCACACCATTGGATAGATGATTGGAGTTTTGTTGTGGACCTTTTCAGCTAAATGGATAGTCCTCGTTCAGAGAGGGAGGGAGGGAGGGAGGGAGAGAGAGAGAGAGAGAACAAAAACAAATAGAAAAAGTCATAAAACCTGAGCTGACAGCTAAAGAATGCTGGTGACTTCTATGGAATTATTGTTCCCAAAATTGCCAATTCATTTAAAAAAAAAATCTATCTCTTGTTCTTCTCAAATCATACGCTTTTTTCAGTCCAGAGACAACTATGAAAATATGACCATCAAGAATTTATGTGTGGTTTTCTCTGATCAATTTGCAGCAAGCCACATTTTGAAGAGAATGTCTGACTTGATGGATCAGCCTCTTGATACCCGTTTGAAGGAGTAACTGCAAATATTTTCTCTAATGCTTGAAAATCTCTGCTGGATGTTGTTCTTTGGTGTTTATCTGACATAGAAGCAGGACCATCTTACTCTTGCACTTTCCTTTTTCGAGATTGAGAGAGGAAAGAAGCCACTTAGTCTTTTGGCCAGCAGCCTTGTCATGGGGGAAGAAGCTGTCCCCATGTTCCTCGGGAGTTATCTTCTGACTTGAAAAATGATGAGCAGCAACTTGTTTCTTTCAAAAGATGAGGTGGAGATGAGAGACGGACATTCACAAAGAGAAGATCTTGGTGGTGTTGTGTAGGACCAAAGACTTAGTAGCACAGGGGATCATGGTAGCTGCTAGAGTGTGGGATGAACTTGCTATGGACACCATGCGGAACTAAGGGGAGGAAAATCATACCGTTTTTGACTAGCAGGCTTGTGGTTTCATCATTCAAAAATACAGTCAGAAAAATTTTGTCTATGGCATGACAAGGAAAAGGACAGTCACCATGTTGTTGCCTTGCCTTGCGGCATGATCCTATCATTGCAGCAGTGATTTCTGATGAGAATGTGTTTGTTTTTATCTAAAGGACCAAAGCTGCATGATGAACCAACAGGGGTTGCTAGCCTACATGTTTCTAATAGAAGACTATAGTCACTGACAATAACTAGTCACTGTACACTAATGCACTGATGATGTTACCTAGTTGGGTAATGAAACATCTGCAGGAAAACAACCAAGCTGAGGGAGCAACCAAGGATTCCACATTACAGTTCATTTCTCTGCTTCTACTGTACCTGTTCATTGAATGGGCTTTGCTGACAGAATGACCTAACGTTGGCTTGTAAATCAGTGGTTTGAAATGAACATGAGCCAAATACCAATTAGGAAACAAGGCATCATTTATTTAAACATTAAAATTAGGGTGGTGATGATTAACTCTTGGGATCAATGGCCCAAATGTGCATGTGTGAGAGAGACTCTCCTCTAGGGGAGACCCATTTGGGTCAAGGATGTAAGGGACACACAGTGTGTTCACGTAATCTCTGTGTTTGTGGTGGGGTGGACCTGGAAAGAGTTAATAAAGGGGCTTAAAGATTAGATTACTGCCAATTCTAGTTTCTGAAGAGATGTGATTTGAAGTTTGAAGGAAGACCTTGTGGATCGTTTGGAGGAAGAGTGGGGAGGGGGGTTAAGTAAAGAATTTTTTTTCTCTCTTTTGTGGTCAAAGGAAGTTGCAGGTGTCTGCTACAAGCCACAATAATATTACTTGGATCATGAGATCATCATGCAAATCATGAGAATTATATAATTTATGCCATTGCAAATAAGATAATTCAGGTTATTTGTGTGAAGGTGACAGCAGGCAAGGGACAACCGCTATTCCTTCCACAATTTCCCATCGCGAAGGGGCATCTTAGCCACAGATAATGACCGCTCCCACCCCAGTCTTATCTTCCCCTGATCCTCCAGGATCTCTCAGTTCTGATGCCCAGACATATGAGCAACTAGAATTAAATCTGGTTTGGATGAAGCTCAATATATTTGATATAAAAACAATGAAAAAACAAAATCAGGAACATTCAAGAAAAATTAATTAATTCCAGAAGGTACATGGTCCCTCACATTTCGTACAACAGGAAGAAAACAGAATGTTGGACATCTGGAAAAGTAATTACACCGTAAGATGATATTCCCATTCATACATCCTAAATACCACACAAGTTGTTTTAAGTTCAGGAGTTCTTTCCATTTTTTCCCCTCTCCAAAGACAACACAATTTTTAATACATTAATTTTTGTTCCACTTTTTCATTTCAGTTAAGGGGGGAATGTCTCTGAGTATGAAGTGACTTTTTTTTCCTGTACAATTTTATATATATCTACTAGAAGTAAATTCTGCTGCATTTACTTGTGCAACTTGCTCCAAGAGAGGTGTGTAAATGCTAGGTAGGGCAGCCTTTCTCGGTGTGTGCTCTCAAGAAGTGATAGGTGACAACTTCTTGATTTGCAATGGCTCTGCTGGTGTGATTCCATACTGAGGCAATTTTTGTTCTATCAATTGCATTTTAGAACTGTTTATCTCTTACCTTTCAGATACCCATTATAACTCATTCTAAAAGGGAAAATCCAATCAAAACTGAAATTAAACCACAGTATTCCCTCTTTCCCGTCTCCCCTTTGCATATTTTCTTAAAAATTTCAACAGATTTCGTCTATATTGTGGAAATAATAACTCCTAATGAGGTGGGAAAATAATGAGCAGAAGTTTTGTCTTGAATACATTTTGCTCACCGTCGGTAAAAATCACTCAGAATATGGAGACATTCACACACAGAAATCTTCTCTCTCTCTCTTACACACACACACATACATACACAGACAGACACAGATATCCTGGTAGATCTTTTTTTTAAAAAAAATGCCATCATGAGAAGAAGTTGAACTCCACTGGAGAAAAATATAGTCAAAATATTCACAACAATGAAAGCATCATCACAGCTAGTCATGATGGAAGACTTGATCTTTGGCTATTCCAAATGGAGTCCTTTGTGGGGAGGGAAAGGAGAATATTCTTTAGCCCATAGGCCCCTTCATGTTTTTGGGCGGGTACATGGGCTGCTCCATGGGCATCATGCCAAAACAGTCTGAAGGATTGCAGTGACCAACTTTCCCAGGAGGGCCTGTGATTCCTGGTGGCCCTGGGATGCCCGGAATACCTTGCTGCCCCATAGGCCCTGGAAGACCCATTTTCCCATAACCTGGAGGCCCCTGGATACCTGAGAAAGGAAAACAAGAAATAGACAAGTATAATTGAGAGTCTTACATTCGGTGGTCTGTTTTTCCTTTCCTGAAATTATAGGAAACATTGGAGAAACCTTTCCCATGAGGATGCTCTTCAGACCAGTACACTTCAACTCCCAAAATTCTCCACTCTAAAGAATTCTGGAAGTAAAGTCCACAAACCTGAAAAAATTTCCAGGTTGGGGAAAGGTGTGTTGGGAAGGCCTCATTTCTTTGCGAAGAAAGTTTTGAGGGAATGTAGATTTGAATCTATTAGAAAGCTCAGCGTTGAGCCAAATAGGTTGATCTTGCTGTTGAAGGCCTCAGTCCTCAGCAGAACCAGTGGTGGCCCTCCAAATACTACCTGAACGTTTTGATTTGTAGTCCCACCAGCGACACTAAGAAAACCACCTATTTCATTACATACTTATTTATTAAATTTATATGCTACCCATCTTGCTCTGCAAAGCAACTCTTGAGAATTTAAAGAACAAATTATTTCAGAACAGGCTCCTTGTTCTTACAAGAAAAACCTAAGAACAACCTCTATTTTGGCTAATCAGAACAATATTTCCACCTTCTGCTCTACAGAGATTGAAGTATGGTTCAAGGCTTCTGGAGAGAAGCTTGGCCTATTCTAGGTTCATTGAGTTGGAGTAAGCTATGAGACTCTCCTCTTTTTCCAATCGCTAGTAAGACCAAAGTTGATCATTTCGCTAATGGTGTAGATCTAAAGAGATTTTTTCCATCCTTTTGAATGACCATGAAAGGAAGTAGAACACCGTGGTTTAAAATTGCTAAAGGCAGCAACAAGAAAAAAACTGCTTTCTGAGTGAAGATGCAACCTAATGCATATAGTAAGACTCTGAATGGCCAGGAATGGCACCACTGGTCTGCAGAAAAAACTCTACATATGCTCTATGTCTTGGTGATGGATAAAAGCCAATGACTGATGAAAGCAAGCAGACTTAAGCAAGCAGGTTTAACTTCGAGGGGAGCCAAATTTACCTGGAGGGCCTGGTGCTCCGGTCTCCCCCATGATTCCAGTCCCTTTGTCTCCTTTTTCTCCTTTGGTTCCGGGCTCACCTGCATTGAGGAAGAAAACATGAAAGTGAATTGACCGAAGCCTCTATCCATTTACAACATCAGGCTACTTCTGAAATGGTTTGCGAAGAGTCTTGTTTGTATTTCTTTAGAGCTGTGACCACATTCTTGCCCAACTGGGATTAAGTATTCATCTGAGGAATCTGCTGGGACAAAGTTATAGAACCCAGGCACACCCCAAATTTGGGGACTCCTGCTGATGTGCCATCTGGATGACATGAATCTACCGGCTGAGTGGTCACCTGCTTAACCTGGCTTCTGATTTTGCCCATTGCCTAAATTTACACTATTTGCAGAGCCATTTGAAAACTCCATCAAGGTTCAAATTCTCCAAGCTTGACAACTTTAAGGCTGGTTGAAGGATTCCGGGAGTTGAAGTCCACTTAAAGTCACCAAGGTGGAGAAACTCTGGTCTATGATGTGCCTCTGTAAGTCTACCTTCTGTCAGGAGGAGGAGTTGCAAGGCTTACCTCTCATGCCGGGCACACCTTGCCGGCCTTCCCTTCCAATTTGTCCAGGCAGGCCTGGAGAACCAGGAGGGCCTGGCCGTCCTGGCGTTCCGTCTTTCCCAGGTGACCCTGGTCTCCCTGGCTGGGAAAGGACTTCTACTGGTGATATGGGCAGTCGGGAAGCGTAGTACTGCATCCGTTCTGTAGGAAAGAAAAGGGAGCCATTGTTTGCTCTGCTGCTCAAGGGGTGGACAGGAACTGGTGAGGTAAGGAAATAGGAAAACCTGTTTGTGGGGAGGACAACTTTCTCTGTAGCTGTTGAATAGAAACCCTTAAGATAAGCCCTTACAGGAATCTTTGGAAGCAGATGTGTTCTCCTGAGAGACTCATTGATAAGTTGATCAGGCTATTCTGTTAATTTAAAAAGTGGCATTTTATTTTACTTTGCTTTTTACTTCATTTAAATTTGCATGCTGCATGTCTCACGCTGAGAGGCAATTCTGGGTGTTTTTCCTGAGATACATTCAAGCCAAATTACCCTGTTTCTCCAACAATATGGCCTCCCCCAATAGGAAGTCCCAGCATGTTTTATAGGCATGAAATGAAATTAAGCCCCTCCCCCCAAATTAAGGCCTATATTAAAACATGCGAAATGAGGGGGGGAATGGTGGGGGGGCTTGCCGTTAGGAAGTACTTTTGTTGCACACCCGGATACGGTGCTGCCTGCGTTGACCCTGATACGAAGTGCTCCACCAACGCCGAGGTCAACATCGAAACCATCGCCGCCCGCCCGCCCGAAGATGCAGGGGGGGGGGAATTAAGTCACCCCCAAAAAAGACGGCCTAGCCATTTTTTCGGGGCTCAAAAAAATAAATAAATAAGACCTGGCCTTATTATATGAGAAACATGGTATTATTAACAAAGAATACCACTGCAACTTTTGGATTTTTCTGGTTCCCAAAAAAAATCATCATCATCATCATCCATCATCTATCATCCATCATCTTATGTCCTGCAACAATATATGTAATGTTTTTAAACAACGACATCTGCCTATTCCAGGACCTAGGGAAGGACTTGGCAAAATGCCAAATCCAGTCTAAACGTCTGGCTGAGAATGCAACCAACCATAATTAATAGTACTATAACCTTCCTTGGACACACACTTTTATAGCTGACCTCCTTCAGGAATTAGTCAAACTATTGATTAGAACTCCTTCTGCAATCTTGTATTATCTTTATCATTAATTGTATCTGGTCTTGTTATCTGAACTTGTAATGTTTGAGTTTATTGGGGCATCTTTTAGTCAATTTCCGGTCTATTTGCAGAAATGATGGAGCCAACTACCCTCTTAGGTCAGGAGTGGGGTTAATTTTAATTCACAGCAGGCCTGGGGGCACTTGTAGTTAAAATACATTCTCCTGGGCAGCTGTGTCATATTATAACAACAGGCATATTGAGACAAATTCTCAATTCCACACTAAAATGGGAGCCTACAACAGCCTTGCCAAATCGGGCTTTTCTCAGCATTTTCTCTTTGCTTATTTTTATTTTCAAGAGTGCCTGGGGTGATGGTGAAAAAGATAGAAGCTTGAGGAATATTAAGTCTGAATTCTGATTCTGATCACGCTATTCTTAGCTTTCATTTATTTTCTTCTCTCTAGAACAGTTGAAAGAAAAAGAAAGGAAAGAAAGAAAGAGAAAGAAAGAAAAAGAAAGATCCTCAGAGTCTGCAAAGAAAGATGGGCTATTGAATATTATTGCTTTTTTTCCCTCCTAAAATAGTGATTTATCAGGCAGAGTGGTGAGGAGGGATCTGCAGGGAGATGATCAGGAAAGTCAAGATGATAACTGTGAACATGTGATTGAAGTTTCACTTCCTCTTAATGGTTGGAAAACGTAAGACAGAGCAAGGTTTGATTACATAGGTGTGGTCTTTTTCGCAACTCTTTTGACGCCACTCTGCTGCAGAGGACTCACGCAGGAATTCTGAAAACACCCTTAGAAGGCGGCTCTAAAATAGATGAAAATTCATAATTTCCCTGTAGGGCTTTGTAGGCGTTATGCAAACATTTCCCTTGCTTGGAAAAGACCAAAATCTGTTCTAGATGTCCATGGCAGAAAAGATGCATTGCATTGTTACTCCAATGTGCTCTACATGAGATTGCATTCAGAAACTTTAACTGATGAGAACGCGGTTGTGCAGATAGTAAAAGGTGACAGATATACAGCACATGTAACATTGCCGCTATGTGAAGTGCTAGCGGCATACTCCGGGTACAACTCAAGGTGCTGCTGTCACCTTTAAAGCCTTACGTGTTTTGGGACTGAGTTCCTTGAGGGATCGCCTTTTTCCAAGGCTCTCTACGTGTCCAATTGGATCTAGCAAAATGGGCCTGCTGCAGATCCTGTCACCCAAAGAATGTCAGCCGGTGGGGATAAAGAAGGGCCTTTTCTGCAGTGGCTCCTACTCTGTGGAATATCTTCCCCTCGGAGATTAGAATGACCTAAACCCTGTTGGCCTTTCCTAAGACTTTAAAAACCTGGCTATATTCCTTTAGTCTGGGATGCTGGATTTGTTAAGAGCCTCATAATTTGGCTTTATTGTTAACTTGGCTACTATATACAGCAGTGGTTCCCAACCTTTTTTTCGCCCCACACCCCTAAAGAAATTTCACTCGAACCTCACACCCCCTGAAATTTAGACTTTAGGAACTACTGAACGCGTTAAATATATGGTAGTATTGAATTTTTTCAGCTATGTATGTGACGGCCACTAAATAACGATACTTAACTCTAAAATGAAAACAAAGTTAATCCATTGCATAATAAATAAAAATGCCAACATATAGCCAATATCCTATTATTTACCTGGACTTTTCTCGCACCCCCTGGAATATCGTCTCGCCCCCCCCAGGGGGAGCGAGCACCCCAGGTTGGGAATCCCTGATATAAAGTATATTTTGAACATGTAAATGAAGACGCAATTGTTCAGGCCAAAAGTACCTAAAAATGTTAAATATTTGGTCCAGTTGTCCTGCTTTAACCTTTTTAGATATTTCTTTTGAATATTTTATTGTTTTTAAAATGCTTTTATTGTTTCAATTATTTTTTATAGTTTGGAGTTGGAAGCCGCCCAGAGCCATTGATTTGATATAAGCAGTTATAGAAATTGAATGAATGAACGAATGAATGAAATTGAGCAGCATTGAAATAACCTTCTCTATGGTGGAGTTTGGGGTAAGATTTGGCATCATCACTTGATTCATTTCCTGACCCTCTTAACTAATTCTGCTTGGTGTTCTAGGGTTTCCAACCTGCAGAGAGAGACCCTGTGCCTTCCCCCCTGCCATCAATCTGTTCTCTTCACCCACCATCAAACATTTTTTGGAACTCCTCTCTGATGAACATCCTGATCTGGTCATAGCTGATGGCATCTCCCTGTTGAGAAAAACAAGGAAGAGGGAAAAGCAGAAGTCAATTTCTGCCTTATCTTGCATGTTAACTTGTATCATTTGACCACTTTCACATGCTCAGCTTCACCCCACATGCAGCCATTCCCCCAAGCTCCAGAAAATCTCCCAGAACCAAATCTTCCAACCCTGCCATCCATATCTTCTTCCTTCCACACTTGTTCCCTCCCTAGCTGAAGGAGTGGCTGCTGAGGGTCATGATAATCAATCTCCCAGCATGCTGTTATTTTAACTTCCTCCCATCCATGAGAAGCAATGCTTTGTGGGACCCTCTGGGGCTCCTCAGTCCTGGATCCTGGACAAGCAACCCCTCTCCTGCTTAACTTCAGGAAGGATTCAGCAACGTTGTGTTTTGGAGTAGTTGCATTTGCAGATTAGCAGCTCTGAACTACACTGGATCTCCTCAGCAGTTCTATATTGCAGGAGAAGCCAAGAGGTAAGGTTGGGCCCATGATGCCACGGCCAAGTCAGTTTTGGCACCTTATGCATCAGTGAAGTTGTATGAAAAACTCTTTCAAGTGAATATCAACCACTGGTGGCACATCCTAGAACCCATCGAAGAAGACAGATGCCCCTTCTAACTGCATCTACTTTTAGACTGAACCAAAATGACAGAGGACTTAATAGTTCAGTTGCCCATTACACGGCATGCCTCTCATTGTCTTTGCCCCAGTTCTTACCGATGTCCCCGGAAGTCCTGGGTTCCCAGGGTTCCCTGCAGGGCCAGGTGAGCCAGGGTGTCCTCTCTCCCCGGGGGACCCACGTGGTCCCATGGGGCCCATTTCACCACTTTTTCCTGGGCCTCCTGGCATCCCCGCTCTGCCTTTCTCTCCAGGGTGACCCATCTCCCCTGGAGTGCCATGGTCCCCCTGAAAGAAGAAAGAGGACAATTCCATGAAAGGTTGTCCTAGGAGAAGAGCCTGACATTCACTCCCAGCGGTGTCCCACTTACTTTCTGTCCAGAAGGACCAGGAGGACCTGGTTTTCCAGGAGATCCCTGTGGAAAAGTAAGAAGCCATCTTCAACATAGTGATAAATACCCATCATGCATTTGAGTGGAAGAGAATATTAGCTTAAGGCTATTTTGCCCCATCAAGTGGCCCTCGTCCTACCATTTAACTTGAAGCTGTTTACCTGCCCTCTACAGGAGGTGTTCCTTATCTGTTACTTGTCTCCATTATTGTGCAATCAAGGTAGTCCTCACTTAAAGACTGGCTGTTTTATGGCTGTTTGAAATAACGGCCATGGAATGGCTGCTTTACAGTCTCTAAAGCACTCCTGGCCATCATAAATGGCTGCGCCCACCCATTCCCTGTGGCCATATGACTGCATGCCTGGTAGATCAGTTTTAGATTTGTTGGGGTGTTCACAGTCATGTGACCGCAATTCGTGATGTTTTTGCCAGTTTGTGACTAAATACCCCCATTCAAATGAATATTTTTACTTAATGACCACATCGAAAAAGGCCAGTAAGTTGGTGGCATGGGTGCCTTGACTTACAATCACAATGACTTACAACCATAATTCCAGGCTCAATTATGTATGTAATTTAAGAACTCCCTGCATTAGAAACGAAGCATTTGGAAGTCAGCTTCCAGGAAGCAGAGAAGGTAGTGTGGGAATGCAATAGTTGAAGATATACTGCATGCAAGGTGGACCAAGGGCTGCCTTCCAAGAAACTTCTTTCTGTCCCTGGTCCATATTGCCCCTGTGTGTGAATGAAAAATGTGAACGTTGTTTTGGGCATAAGAAAGGTGATGTAGGTGGCTTCCTCCTTTGTTACAGTGGGTTACTCCTATTTTTGGTTGTGAGATGTGGGTAAATAAGGCTCTTCTGTTCAAGAAGGTGATGAGAAAGTAAGAGTCACCATACCTCTTTGCCTCCCAGTCCATCCGAGCCTGGCTCACCCTAGGAACCAAAAAAGAAAATAAGGGGAAAAGAGGATTTAGTTTCATTTCTCTACTAATGGGTCCAAAGTCAAATAGTCATGTTGTTAATCTCTTTCAGCCTAATATTGAACAAAGAATTAAGACTAGGAAGCATTACAAACCATCCATGCATCCATCCATCCATTCTCAACAAGAGGGTTTTCCCATAAGCTCTTCATGATTGATTCTGAAACATGTTGACTCCATCAAGGGACACTCACCGGTGGACCTGGGTGACCCGGTGTTCCTGGCTGGCCTGGGAGCCCACTGAGGCCTCTTTCTCCAGTCGATCCCCGTTCACCCTTCAGACCCTGGGAAAAGGAGAGATGGCGTCAGAAACTATTGGAGACAATCAAGGAGATGCAGTGTTTTGAGGTGACTCCTTCAGATAGATGACCAACTCCACAATGTTCTTCCCAATGCATGTGCTCTGAGATCAGAGGTGGCATTCAGCAGGTTCTGACCAATTCTGGAGAACCGGTAGCAGAAATTTGGAGTAGTTTGGTGAACCAGCCAATACCACCTCTGACTGGCCCCGCCCCCATCTATTCTCTGCCTCCCATCGAGTCCCAGTTGATTGGTTGGGTCTTCTTTGATTGATCTGCATAGGAGAACGGAGCTGGAAAGCAGGTTAGTGGGGTGGGGAGAGAATGGGGATTTTACAGTATCTTTCCCCTGCCAAGCCCACCAAGAAATGGTAATAAAAATATTTGAATCCCACCACTGTCTGAGATTCATTTTTGTGGGAGAACTCAAGGTCCCCTTTCCAGTTGCAGCTATTTTTGTATACATAGATGAGTGGTGGGCAACTTTCTGGCATGTTTCTCTCCACACATCTGCTTCTTCATTGAAAAGAAAGCAGAGGTGAATGATAATGGGGACAGAGATAAAGATCTCCGTGTCTTGAGTCAATCTCACATCTAGAAAAAATCATGGCCAAATATTTAGCCAAATTCTAAAAAAATGTTGACTGAATAGCACAGAGTATTTCTACTTTGCTAGATGGTAGGTTCGCCTCCCCGACCCCAACACGACAGTCTCTAGATATAGTAGATTGCATCCTCCTTGGCCCCCGGGATTGGGTTGGCTAAGAAGATGAGCATTTCCAAGATATTCCAGATACATCTGGCTAGAGAAGGATGGGAAGTTCTTGGGAGCACCCTCTGCAGTCCAGTACCAATCTATGAAATGTCACCTTCCAAGATGGCATCTTAACAATTGACAATTCAATGAATGTTTCCTGGAGACAATCAGATCATTTTCTTATTTGGTTGGACATGATTTTGGAGGTAGGGATTCACTGTCTTTACAAAGAAATGGGAAAGGGGTTCCAGTGGAGAGAGATTTGCAAGCTTCAAAGAATGAATGGTTCCTATACTGTGGCTTCATTCAGAAGTGAAGAGGATCCATGTTGGATCAGACTCAAGAGGACCAGAGCCTAAGAATGCCAAAAGGGAAGGGAGGATACTCACAACTCCAGCAAGCCCTGATGGACCAGGTTGACCAGGGCTTCCAGGTGGACCCTGAAGAGACATAAAAATTGCAAAAGGATGTAAGAATGTAGACAAACCCAATGTTTCTCAACCTTGGTAACTTTAAGAGACCTGGACTTCAACTCCCAGAATTCCCCATGCTGGCTGAAGAATTCTGGGAGTTGAAATCCAGACCTCTTAAAGCTGCTGAAATTTGGAAACACTGAATATACTGATCACCATTGAGTATTTCCCCAGTAAGACTGACTCTGCCTTTCATGTCTAAAAAATAAATCCAAAATGAATTATTAGAGAAAAGCATACTCGGGAGTTAGTCATGGACATCTAAAACAGCATTCTTTATAAAGTTCTCTTGGGTGCATTTTAGAAAGCTCAGACATATTCATTCATGTCAGAATCCTTGCTGAATAGAGACCAAGGGAGAAATCTGGAGTAGTTACGTTTCTTGTTCGTAAGTTAAGTCTGATCTCAAAGGGTATCTGATCTTGACATCACAAGGGCTATTCAAGCAAGGGGAAACCTGGTCTCTCCCCCCTTAAATCTCTGTTCTTATCTGCCCATATATTCTTCACACAGTCTGTTTCATGATTCGGGCTGCAGAGAAGCATAGCACACATAAGAAATTAAGACAGGGTGCTGTCTAGCTTCCTGCTACATTTCCAATGTAAGTTCCCAGATGTAAATGGATAAATATGGCAGCTCAGAGCAACCAGACACACTGGTCTGTGCCATCTAGGTTGACTCTGGTTAAAATTCTAATGTGCAATGTTAAGATAGCACTAATCTAGCACTGATGATGTTACCTAGTTTGGTAATGATGATTATTACTACCTTTATTGTCAGAGTACAACATGTGTACAATGAGATTGGCTGAGCCTCCCTTCGTGCACCCACCCCCAAAACAACTCACAGTGAGAACAGAAGTCCCTAACTCACTCCCACTATGTGACCTTGTTGCACAACATGCCTGAAAAATCTGAAACGTGCCTGAAACGTCTGAAAGAATACAACTAAACTCAAGAGAGCACCAATGATCCCACAGTGTTAATGCTTGCCCCAGTTGATGCCTAGTTATGGATGGATGGGAGTTATAGAATTAAGATTTGGCAAAACTATTTATTTAATCTATTTATATTCCTGCTTTATTATTTTTATAAACAACTCAAGACAGTGAACATGTCTAATATCCTTATTTTTCTCCCCACAACAACCCTGTGAGGTGAGTTGGACTGAGAGAGAGTGATTAGCCCAAGATTATCAATTTTTTTCATACCTGAAGCGGAATTAAAACAGAGTTTCCTGGTGATTGGCCCAACATCACTCAGCTGGCATTCATGCCTAAAGCAGGACTAGAACTCATGGCCTTCTAGTTTCTAGCTTGATGCCTTAAGTAACTAGATTCTCTTCAGTGATTAAGTGGATCTGTCAGGATTCCGGCAGTTACTCCAATTTATAGTTTTATAGTTGACAGGAACATAAATTTCTAAATATCAGTCCAGATTGAGAATAAAATATACTGAATTCTACAGGTTATTTGCAATAACGGAAGTTCAATAGTTTCCATACAGCTTTTGAGTGACCAATCTTTAATTATTGGATTGAGGAGGGATTGGCAATTGGAATAGCTTATTCTGACTATCTGCAGAACTGCTGTTATTTCTGAGGAATAGGTTTGGTGGGCTCATTTTTGTTTGTTTGTTTGGTTTATCTTATAAAAACCAAAATGTGAATGGTGCTTTATTTTTGTTTTAAAAAAGGGAATTCAGAAAAGAACAAAATGATACAAATGGAGAATTTAACAGTTGACATTTTACTTTGGCTTTTATGCCAAGTGGTATCTGCCTTTTAGCAGTGGTTCAGAAGCCTGACCTGGTAGCTTTATAGACATCTTTGCAACCCAACTATAAATCTGCTCACACAAAATTCAAGAAAGAGTATTTTGACTTACGACATGTCCAGGAGGGCCTGGTCTACCTTGAGGCCCCACAGGACCTGGCTCTCCCTGCAGAAGCAAAAGAACATTAGAGCAAATATTTATCTGTGTTAGGTTATTCTTGGAGCAAATTATATAAATACATTGCCAGAGACTTCTGAGCAAGTTATAACTAAGCTAACCAATGCTATAGCATTGAAACATACATATCTTGGGATGTATACACGGAACTATGCCTCGTCTACTGTTCTCTGATTTCATCTACAGGTAGTCAGCCCTCAACTTACGACTGGTTGCTTAGATGTTATACTGGACTTCCACAAAGCTACTTATGACCCAATTTTGAAGTTCATTACTATCACCATTATTCAGAGAGTAGGGTAGGGTAGGGTAGGGTAGGGTAGGGTAGGGTAGGGTAGGGTAGGGTAGGGTAGAATAGAATAGAATAGAATAAAATAGAATAGAATAGAATAAACATTGGAAGGGAATGGAAGTTATTTGTATCCCATCTTTATTATTTTTGCAAATAACTCATGGTGGTGAACGTATCCACGACAGCAGCATCCCCATGTGGTCACATGATCACATTTTGGGCACTTGGCAACCAGCTCACCTTTGTTTACAGCATCCTATGGTCCTGTGATAATTTTTGACTTTTTTTGCCCGTTGCTGGTGTTCATTTCCAGCTTCCGGCAAAACACGCCCATTGAATAAAATGGATATGCTTAACAACTGCTGTGTTCACTTAACAACTGCTACAAAAAAAGTCATAAAATTGTGTCTTGTGACATGGTGAGCTGCTTAACAACTGCAATGACTTATGACCATAGTTCTGGGTTCAATTACATAGTAAGTTGAGGACTTCCTCTACTTCCATAAAGCATATGTTTGCATAGCAATCTATCTTCCCTTGGCATAGCAAGTAATCTCTGCGTACATAATATAATAATTTGCACAGCACAAGGTTGTCTGTGGGGAAGGTTTGGTAATGAAGATTGTTGTTGCATCAATGTCCTTCATATTCTCTCTTTTTCTCTCTCTCTCTTTCTCTCTCTCTCCCTCCCTCCCTCCCTCCCTCCCTCCGTCTCTCCCTCTCTCTCTCTCTCCATACACATCTGTATGAAGGTAACTGAGGTAAACTATTAGTAGAGGAATTAATCTTGTGGATTTACGTTGCTCTCCTCCCAACATCTTGCTAATTCCAACTCACTTTCTTTGTCCCACAAACACAAACCAAAGTGTTTTGAATTGAGCCACCCAAAGCATTTTGTATATCTCCATCCTTCATCTACTCTGCATTCTCAACTTGAGTTCCTTTAGTCAGTCATGGTATATTATGACAATGAACGAAGATTCTTCTATAATGATTTCCACATATTCATACACCGCCACCCTGCCCACTGCTGAATCCAGGCAAACACAGTGCAGGATTAACTCAAGAGTGTATTCCTGACATTGCAATTCATTTTTGTCTGGTTGTTGACAACTCACCTCAGCTCCAGCCCGGCCCGTATTTCCAGGAAGTCCTGGCTTACCACAATCACCCTAGAAAATCCAGGAGGCATGGCTTAGAATGTGTATATTATGGACGATATAAAGCAACTGAAGCCTATCTTTTTCCAGTAAATTTCCTGGTCTTCTTGTTCAACCAGCCTTGGTGACAGACGGTCATGAGGATCAGCTGTCCTCCTCACTGTCCCAACGGGCCCAAATCTCTGAATGCTTTGTCACAGCCAAACACACCTTTGGGATTGAAGAGATGTGTGAAGTTGCCTGGAGCCAGATTAAATCAATGGTCCACAGAGCCCAAGGGGAACTCTGTCACTATTCTTCAAGTTTCCAATGTTGGGTTTCGATCCCCAGAATTCTCAATGGGAATTCAGGGGGTTTCTGAAGGGATAAGTTTGGGAGAGATGGATCTGCCCTAATTGACAGCAGTTCTCCAGAGTCTACTTGAGATCTTTTTACTGAATTTCTTTTTGCTCTTAGAAAGAATTGCTTCTCAAAACAGGGGCCTTTATAATCTCTCTCGGTCTCCAATATTTTTCAGCTTCTAATGTAACAAGCTGGATTGCTGTTGCCTGATTGTTGAGTTGATGACCCTGAAATCTACTTTCATAACACTGTCAAGAAATGGTTGAAGTGGCAATGAAGAAGACCATTGTTATTATGGGGAGCTTAATGTTATTCCCCTTTATATTAAGACCAGTTTAGAGCTCATTTGGAGGTAACCTGCTTGCCTTTTACTTTTGTTTACTGAATAAAGGAGAAAGGAAGGAATCTTTGTGTAGCTTTTTTCGCTGTGAAAGTCTCCGACATTTGATTTACCTCCCAGAATCACCTGCTACCAAGCAAAATCAGGTCTTGCAGTCTTCTGACCATAGTACGACCATGAAGTCACAGTGCCAGGTTTTGATCCAAACTTTGGACTTATTTGTGAGGAGCTTCTGCATGTAACCTTACATTAGTATTGTAGAAATTGGCTGTCCTTAGGATATCTCTGCTGTTGTTATTAAGGAGTTCCTAACAGCATGTAAGAGATTTGGGTACTAGCTTGCTTGGTCTGTAAGCTTTTTATGTTATGCCTTTCAATCAGTTTGCTTGAACTAATAAAAAAGCTTAAAACCCCTTTATTTACCGGTTTGTTCATTATTTCTGGATGCAAAAGAAGCAACGGCTTGGGCACCTGGTCACTGCCCTAATACTTGACCAAACAATGGTCATGAACACCAGCCTGCAGTTAATAATGTTGGACCTGTGACTTCAGTGGTACAGACTCTTCAGCACTTTGTCACCTGCTGACCACAAGGACAAAGGTCAGTGGAGCAAAGAAAGCAAGCTAATAATTTATTCCTTGTCTAAATACTCTGCTTGCTCCTGATCTCTGAGACAGCTAATCTCAAATCCCTGTCTCTTCCTTTTCTTCCAGATATGCACCTAAAGAATGCACATTCTCCCATTCTCTTTCTGGTAAGTTGTAGTTAGCTAGGTGCTAGGCTTTGTTTATCCCTATCTTGTTCTTCCTGAAATAAATCTCTTTTCTGTTGTAATTCTTAAAACGGCTTGCATTGCTTATCTTAGATTCTCACCTTCGGGAGCAGCCAAATGTATGCAGAAAAATTTTCCACAGATAATGAGTTGCATGTAGAATACTATACAGAAAATGCAACAATACAAGACAGATTCTGTCAGAGGGTCACCTTTCCAGAGAACTGAGAGATCTCTATTCTGAAATGAGGAGGAGGAAGAAGCGAGCGTGTAGCTTGGAGATGCTCCTAGATGTTAAACTCTCATATAGTCAATGGTCAGAAGTATCTTTGATCTGACTGGCCAATTGGAAGAAAATGACCTTCATAGTGTGGTGCCTGAGTGTGACATCTGCAACATGTTCTCTGCAGGCCTATCTGTGGGTCTGACAGAACTCGTCTGAGGTAAAATTGTGTCATCATGTGGGGTCATTGATTGTTTTCTTGCAGATGTTTCATTATCTGACTAGGTAACATCATCGGTTACCTGGGTAACTTAAGCAGTGATGATGTTAATGAAATGTCTGCAAGAAAACAACCAAGCACCAAAAGAACCCACAGTTCAACCCTGAGCTATAACTTCTCTGTTGATACCATCATGTGTTGCCTATTTCTTTCCAGACAAAATACAAAGGGCTGCTTATTGCTTTTATAAGATGCCCATGGTTTGTATCAAGGCTTCTTGAGAAGGTTCCTCTTGCTCTAGGATTCAAGGTCTACTGGAGTTTTCTTTGTGGTCACCCAGTTTTGGGGGGTGTATTTTCTACTGCATTATGGCAAGTCTTGGTTTAAAAGCTTTTAAGACCAAGCACTTCTTTAAAAAAGGATTTTAGTTGCTGATTTTAATGGTGAGCATTGTTTTTAACATTTCTAGTTAACTTGATTGTTGTGTTTATCATAAGCTGTGAAGAGTCTTGATAGGTTATAATAATACATTTACCCAAACAAATTGTCCCTAAGGAGATCATTAACAATCAGTGGTTTATATCAGTGAGAATTACAGTCTTCCTGCATTCAGACTCACGATACTTTGGCTTTTCCAATTTTCAGGCAAGGAGAAACCATCTCCTAGACAATATATTTGACCAATTTGACATGAGGTTGAATAAATAAGAAGGAACATGTATCACATTTTGATCTTGCAGTCAATGACAAGGCTAACCTTCTGTCCTGGCAGGCCAGGATGACCTGTTTTCCCTTTGAATCCCTAGGGAGAAGAAAAAGAAAACAACAATAGAGAGGCTATAAACTTGGCTCAAAGTCAGCAGGCACTGAGCACTGAAGATTCAACAGACCAGAAATGTACTTCCCCACAAAAGAACCTGGCTTGGTTTTAGTATCTCGCAACAATCATTACAGTTGATAACAGCTGGTAAACATCTGCGTGCCAAGACAAAGCTAAAAGGGCATCATCTAGCTGATGAAAAAATGGCACCGTCCAATCTCCCAAGAAACTAAGAAAGAAATGGAAGAAAGAAATCTCTGTCCCCCTCTTTCCCAATGACTAGTAGAATCTTGGATAGCCAACAACTTACTGGAGGTCCCATCATTCCTGGAGGTCCTGGAGATCCGGGGTCACCCTAGAAGAAGTCAAGAGTTAGTGCTCCTCAAAAGAAAGACAACTGCAACATTCCTAGTCTTCAGCATACCAAAGTTGTCTTCTCTCCCTACTTCCCATCCGGATATAAATGGGTCCACACTCTCTTTTCCCAGGAGGCATATAATCACCACCTTGCTATTACAGGTAATCTTGCACTTACGACCACAATTGAAGCTCAGAATTTATTTTGCTAAGTGAGAAGTTTGTTGTGAGTTTTGCCTTGTTTTACGACTTTCCTTGCCACATTTGTTAAGTGAATCACTGCAGCTCTTCAGTCAGTGACACGGTTGTTAAATGAATCTGGCTTCCCTATTGACTTTGCTTGCCAGAAGGTCACAAAAGGGGATCACGTGACCCCAGGATACTGCAACCGTCATAACTATGAACCAGTTGCCAAGCATCCAAATGTACTACGGGGATGCGGCAACATTCATAAGTGTGAAAAATGGTCATAAGTAACTTTTTTCAGTGCTGTTGTAAGTTTGAACGGTCACTAAGTGAACTGTTTTTAAGTTGAGGACTATTTGTATTCTCAAGGAGGTGAAGGTCAGCTGACACCAAACTTTCTTAATGGTTCGCTTTTCAATCCTAAAGAGCCAGCAGTGACTGTAGAATGCAACCTATTGCTAGGGGATGATTGTTCATGTGAATGTTGTAAGAAAGGCTAGTGTAATTTGCTACTGGGACACACATTCTTACCCGTGACCCTGGTTTTCCATCTTTTCCATCTTGTCCCTCCAGGCCAGATGGACCCTAAAAATAAACTTAGATTACACGTGCATTCTTTCTTTGAACTGCCAAGAGGAAGAAAAAAAATATCCAAGTGCAACGGTCAATGCTTTATGTTTATTTAATGCACTATACATATTAAGACAGCTTAATGTGCTGAAGTTTGGTTTATGGATGGATATCTTTAAGCCGGAACATTTTAACCATAGTTGTTAAGATGAAAATAAATGAGCCACACACAGTGATGTCTCACTGTAATGATCTGGTATGATGATCAAGCATAGTTTGTAATTGATAGCCCTATAGAATCAGAAATTATGTTTGGATGTAGACTTGCAAAATATCCTTGATGCTAAATTGGACGCTGTGTAATGGGGAAAATAGTGCACTACAGTTAGAACTGGAAACCCACACCTGAAAATTGCTGCAATATCAGCCTCTGAAGCTAAATGGAAAGTGAATATTGTCAAACAAATTTACGTAATATTCTGCTTGTTACGGTGTCATTTGCTTGTTGTGCAAATCACAGCTAAAGAATCTAAATGGATGGCTGTGTAAGCCATGGCTTTTAGCGAGATCTAATTTAAACAAGTGCCCTTTTCTAAGCCTTTTCATAAAATTGGTTCATTTGGAAAAGGGCGAACAGACTCCTTCTAATCTTTACCTATGGCAGTCTTGCAAGGGGGTTGATATGTTGAAACAAGACAACAAAACAAACTCTTGTGCTCTTAGTACAAAAGTACTTCTGGGGAAGCAGGACATTTTGAATACAGGGCGCACATCATAAATATTTTATGGAAGGAGCCATAGTTTCTGTTACAAAAATAATAAAGCATCTTCTTGCTCCTTGCTCCCCAGTCTTTGTCCCCACCCGGTGCCGCAGTGGATGGAACGTTTAAATCTTTTACTTTCCAACTTCAAGTTGCCACAGTTTCCTTGTTTTAGAATGGGTGATGAGGAGATACACTTGAGTTTAATTTGGTAGTTTAAGAACAGAATGAGATGAGTGTCAGGATTCCGGCAGTTCCCCCCATTTAAATCATGAGTCTCGAGCCAAACTTCCAAAACTTCAAAAGGATTTATTGGGAGTTAAGATGTCCGGCACTGTCTGGGTGTAGCCAACTCTGAGGCACATCATTCATTGTCACCCTTGACCCTGGTTTTCCCCCACCCCCTGGGTGTACCGTAATTCATATTCTCCAATGGGACACATCCATAGCCCAGAGTCATCAATCATGCTCTCCAGTTAGAATTTTGCGCTGCAGAAACTTCAGTCACCTAGTTACTATCTTTGAAAACTATGTATGGAATTGTGTTTCACTTTCCAAGCTGCCTCACTGCTTCCCCTTCCCTTTCTGTTGGCAACTCTAAAAAGACCAGAGAAATATTTTATGAGTTGACAATGAGTTGGCTTCAGCATCTGAAAGGGACTTCTTAGGGTGGACACAGGAAAACTGTACTGCTGATTTTACACCATGGGTGAAACCTGCTGTTTTGTCACCTTCATTGTAGGGTGATTTAGACCAGGGGTTCCCAACTTCAGGACCACAGCCCACTAGTGGGTCAATAGCTGTTTGCAACCAGGCCACGGAAACAGCAGATGAGTGCACATGCATTCCCACTTGCCCGAGCAACGGGGGAGCGTGTGCATTCATGCTCCACTTGCATGAGTGGTGATCACACATGCACGCCACTCGGGCAAATGGACCTGTGTGCATGCATGACTGCCAGGCACTCACGCAGTACCATCTCCTTTCCCATCTCCCCCTCACACACACACTGTTGGTCCGCAAAGATTGGGAAAGTTTAATTTAGACCATTGGGTCTTCAGCCTACTTACCTGCAGTCCAGGTTGCCCTGGAGGCCCAGGGGGACCAGCCATGCCAGGAGTCCCACGCATCCCTTCGCTGCCCTGCGGAAAACAGAGGAGAGAAGCCCTTGCAATGATTCTGCTGCTGTTGGCTGCCATGGAGAAGAAGAGTAAAGGAGAAGAAGCCAAGGAGAGGACACAGCTTGTGCTGGGGAGAAATGCGATTAGATTCCCATGCATCTTCCTTTCCATCGCATTTACAGGCGGTCCTCGACTTACAACAGTTCACTTAGCAACCATTCAAACTTACAATGGCACTGATAAAAATGACTGGTGACCGTTTTCTGACTTGCCACCTTTGTAGCATCCCCATGATCACGTGATCAAAATTCAGAAGTCCGGCTTCTGAAACTGGTTCATACTTATGACCGTGGCTGTGTCCCAAGGTCACATGATTCCCCCTTGGCCACCTTCGGACAAGTAAAGTCAGTGGGGAAGCCAGGTTCACTTCACAGCAGGGTTACTAACTTAACAACTTCAGTGATTCCCTTAAGGGCTGTGGCAAGAAAGGCTGTAAAAGGGGACAAACCTCACTTAACAAATGCCTCACTTAATAACAGGAATGTTGGACTCAATTGTGGTTGTAAGTTGAGGACTACTTGTATTAAATGTTTATGTTGCCCCATCTCCTCTAGGCTTCCTTTTAGCTTCCTTTGCTGGAAAATGTCCCATTTCCCGGATGACAGAAAGCTGATCTGCTTCTGGGAGAAGTGAGAATTATGCTTTGCCAGCCCTCCCCAGAGGAAGGTCCCCCATTTGAACACCACAACGTACAATCTTTCTTAAACCCAAATGGGGCTTTTTTAAAAAAGGCAGCTGGACTTTTCTTGTGTTTTTTTTCCCCCCCTTGAAAACATTTCGCTTCTCATCCAATAAGCTTTTTCAGTTCTGAAGAAGCTTCCTGGATGAGAATCGAAATGTTTTCAAAGGGGAAAAAAAAAAAACTTAGAAAATCGAGCTGCCTTTTGAAAAAAAAAAAAGCACCTTGAGGACAACTATGACCTATAACGATGATGAGGACAAGTATGACCTATAACGACAACTATGGCCTATAACGATGATCGAAAATCTCCATAGACAAAAACCCTTCTTAAATTAGGCTCAAGGTTTACTTCCCTTCAACGTGCCTCTTCCTGTTTCCCAAGAGCCAAACAAAATCTCCAGGCTGCAATCCTGAGAAAACGCAGCAGATGTCAGTAAAAGCCAGCAATTGGCAGGCTCCCCTCCCTCTCCCACTTCTCCTAATCTCTTCCCTGTTGCAACCCAACAGCTATTTTTCTCTTGGCATCCTCAAAGGGGCTCCTTTCCAGATCCACGCTTCCAATGCCTTCTCCATCCAGCCTTCTATCTGCCGAAAGAATTCCCATGACCTGTAATACATAGATAAAACTCTCTGCCTTTAATAGTATGTGTCTACTACAAATCCCTGTGGAAACTCCTCCTTTGAGCAAAAAAACCCCAGTTCCCCCCTTGCTCTTCTGAAGGTTGTTCATCCATGGTCTTGTTGGACAGAGAGCCAGCTAGCTGAAGTAGGAGTGTGAGAATTTGTAGCTCTGGGGGAAGAAGGGTCTTCATTTACCCCCCAACTGCTTGCCTAGAAGATGGAAAATGTGAGTGGATGAGACAATTCATGCCTTCTTACTCTCCCGCCTCTGAAATATCTCATGGCTGTGTCTCTTGGTTCCTGTACCTAGTGGGAAGGCAGCACAGGCAGTCCTTGAGTTATGACCAGAATTGGGACCAGAATTTCCACTCCCAAGAAAGGTCCATCATGCCCATTTTTTTTGTCATGGCTGTTAAGAGAATCACTGTAGTTAAGTGAATCACAGGGTTATTAAGCAAATCTGGTTTTCCCCATGGACTTCACTTGTTGGAAGCCAGATGGGAAGGCCACAAATGGGGAATCATGAAATTCTGGGACACTACAATCTTCATAAATACATGCCAGTTGCCAAGCGTTTGGATTTTGATCAAATGCTACGATGGTTGTAAGTGTGAGGAATAATCATAAGTCACTTTTTTTTCAGTGCCATTGAAACTTTGAATGGTTGCTAAATGGATGGTTGCAGGTTTAGGATTAACTAAACTAGTGGAGACAAAGTCTTTATGTCTCCCTTGGTTGCTCCTTCTGTTCAGCTCTAAGTAATATTAAAGGACTGCAAGAGCAGCATTTTAGATGTGGAGTTTGGGGAAAGAAAATATAACCTCCAAGAGAATCTCAGGAACAAAAGATGGACTGGCATCTGGAGTGCTGCTCTTGCAGAGATCAAGTTGCCTGAAGATAGAGGAAGGGGAAGGGAGATATAGAGTCAATGCTGTCATTATCCCAATTTTGCCTGCAGATAAGTGCAGTTTCTGCAGAAGGAGAAAGGAAGGGATGAATGAGGAAGGAGGAAGTCATGCTGCTTTCTGTAGCAACAGTCCTGCAATTGGTATAAAATATCAAGGCCAGCAGGGAAGTTGACCTTCATATTTTGTTTCTTTTGGCCTTGTTCTTCCAGTTTGGAAGGCAGAACCCACCCCTCTTCTTCAAGCCCAGGAGACCGGAAGAATCCCTTTTCCCCAGCAGTTTATAACAGCACTAACGCTGCATTTGGGTTAACCACACGGATTTCCATGCATTCTTTCCCTCTGTCAATATTTCTGCAGCTGCAAAAAAATCATCCAGGAAAATCAGTTGTAATAGAATTGTTTTCACTTTAGGTGTATGGTTTTGTATGCGACTTTCCCTTTTATATTTTTTAGAAACACACTGCATCCATGTTTTTATACAGAAGTATCATTTCAGCTCAACTACCCCTTAATACATATAATCTTCTTGATGCATCTTTCTTGAACAACTTCTTTGTGTGAATGAAAATGCCAAGAAAAAGGGGGTTTTCATTAGCTGGTGCAATTTTGCTCCCATTGAAATCGGATGGCAGGTATGTTTACAGCCTTCCCGCTTCTTGCAAAATTGCTCCTGCTTCGTTTATCTTCCCTCCCCTCAAGATTTGGCTTTGGTCACTCACCTTTTCGGCTGGAGGTCCTTGAGGTCCAGGAGGCCCTGCTTTTCCTGGAAAACCTGGAGGACCCTGAAAAAGACACCAGCAATGATTTCAGAACACTAAATATGCTACATTAGTAAGAAAAGATCTATTCAGTCTAAGTGTGGAATTTTGTAATAGGACAAGCAGGGATTCTGCAATATGTCTAAATGACTTGATTTAGGTTGCTATACATTTCTATAGCCTATCATAGAGAGGGGCAGAAGTTCTGCAAAAATCAAAACTCCCCCACTAATTTTACTCATTATTTAACTTTGGAGCTTCTGAGATTTTAGTCGGATCAGGTGCTTCATGGTAGTATGAGATTTTGATGTGAGGCTATGCGTTGTGGTGAAAAGAATGCTCATGCTGGCCTCTGAATGGAAAATGGGTTGATGTTTTGTCCTAGTAGGCCGAGGGGAGGCCCCAGCTGAGATTTTCCACCCCAAGTAGCAGTCAGGAAGTGAGAAAAGCGGGCAAAAAGTTGTGTGGTTCTGTGATGAACTGATGAAGTTCTCACAGATAGTGTCTTTGGTTGGCTTTAAGCAGAATTTTTTTATGCTGAAGTTCTCCAGCTATTCTGGATTACCAATTTCCATCCTGTCAGGTCCAAACCATATCTGGATGGCATCAGATTGGAAAAAGGTGATTGGAAGATTGTGGAAAGTTAATTTTCCATTTCTGTACTGCCAGAGAAAGGTCTGGGATGTTTGTTTTTTGAGCTTAGTTGTTTTCTTGAAGATGCATCATTACCCACAGAATAACAGAATAACAGAGTTGGAAGAGACCTTGTAGGTCTTCTAGTCCAACCCCCTGCATTTCAGACAAATGATTCTTAAACACCTCCAGTGTTGGAGCACCCACAACTTCTGGAGCCAAGTTGTTCCATTGATTAATTGTTCTAATTGTCAGTGTTCTGATGCTACCTAATTGGATCATGCAAGAAAACAACCAAGCTCAGAGAGCACCAAGGAGCCCAAAGTTCAACTCTGGCCTATAAATATTCTCTTCTATTAGTACATTGGTTTTTCTCATGCTAGTACTGCTTTTCTTCTTAAACAGATTTCTCTTGGGGATTTTATCCCTAAAGAGAATCTTAATTAATGTGATTGGAATCTATTGGAAGAGGCGCTGTGACTCTTTACTTATGGCCATGCGCTGTTTCAATTCACAGACATTTTGCAAGTGATTGTCTAAGGAGACCCAACACTCCAGGACAAAATATTTTAGGATGTACCAAACTTACCGGTGCCCCTGGAAAACCAGGCTGGCCTTGAAAACCCTGTGAATAAAATAAATGTAGATTAATGCCCAAGATAGATAGGCAAAATAGCCCCCCCCCCCCCCGATGCAAGCGGTGCTGATCTGAAAAAGCTAAGTCGAGTAAAACCAGATTAGCATTTTGGACGGGAGACCACAGAGAAATCTTGGGGCGGATGACTAAACTGGAAAGAGGAAAAAAAAAGCTCTCAGAAGGAGGCAAGGACAAATAATTACTGTATTGGATTTCTGTATTATTTATTCAGGTGGCATTAAGCTTTTAAAGGACTTCCTTACTTCCCTCTTGGAAGTTTGAGACAGACCCAAGACCCCAAGATCATCGGCTGGGAACATCCAAGGCAGGCAGACTGTTCACAGAGCAAGTAAAGTGCCAATGATTGGTGGACAATGGACAATGGGAGGGCCAGGAGGGGAAATGGGAAAGTTTTCTTAACGCTGTTTGCACAAAAACTGGAGTTTCTATTTCTGTGCCCATTTGGGATTTTCGGTAAAGTCTTTATTTATTTTCAGTAAACTTTGAGTAAAACTTTAAGAGTTCAGTAAACTCTTGGTTAAAAGAATGTCCCAGGAGTTTCTCTTACTGTCTAACCAGTAGGTAGGACAGTTGACATAAAACAGACAGAATTTTGACCGCACTAGCCCTTTTCAACCATGCCATGCAACCACTCCTACCAGCACTCCAGATTAAGCCTCTAGCAGAGGCTGGAGGAAACAACACTCAAAGCAGTGAGGCACAGGGACACTATTGCAGTGCCCGAAGAGAAGGACAGCCTCCCTCTCTCCGGGTATAACCTGTGGGCACATTGCCCCACGTGGTGGCCACTTCCAGAGTGGAACACTCCTGGCCCAGAATAGCTTACCTGGTCTCCTTTTTCCCCTGAGCTGCCTGGCAACCCTCTTTCTCCTCTGGGACCCTGATGCAAGGAAAGAATAACATGGGTGTTGTTTGCTTAGAGTTGTTGCACTGCAGGCTTGAACTTCTCCCTGGGCTGGTTAGCCTGAATCTGGCAGGCTTAGATGATGACTTAATGAAAGCTGGAACCTTTGTCCCTGACATGCTCCTTCTCAATTGGTAGAGCAGCTTTGAATCCAGAGAACCCTTCAAATAATCTAAGCCCTCACCACTAGCCTGGTATGATAAACTCCAGAGTCAGGTTCACCTCCTTAGTGAGAACTATGACCCAGATCATATATAAAGTACACAAAATAGATTCCCTTCCTGCATTCTCAAACATGCTAACAAGTATATGTATATCTATCTATCTATCTATCTATCTATCTATCTATCTATCTATCTATCTATCTATCTATCTATCTATCTATCTATCTATCTCTAAGGAGATCACAAAAGCTTACCCTGTTCATTCAACCTCTGATACCCAACCTTTGATACCGTTCCTTCTTTTCTGACTGCTGACTGTTTTTAGATTGGAAACTCCTCAAAACATAAATAACTTCCCATCAACTCTTTGCTACAGAAGGCAAGGCTTGCTGCATCTCAGTTGTTTTCAGAGGCAATGGAAGCCTCAAGATTTCCTGCACTACAGTCGTGCTGTATACAGTGAGCCGATAAGCTTACCGAGGGTCCTATGGGTCCTATCGGTCCGTCTACGCC